TCCGGCGATCTTCCGCTCAGCCTTCCGAGTAGCCGGAAATTACAGGCATGCGCTACACGCCCGGCCGATTTTTTTGATTTATTGTAGAAATGAGGTCTCGCTGCCCAGGCGGGTCTTGAACCCGTGGGCTCAGGCAATCCACTCACCTCAGCCTCCCAAAGGCGCGGGATTACAGGCTGAGCCACCGAGCCCAGCTGAAAAACAGTCATTTTAAAAAGGAGGGGGCTGGATTCTGAGTATAGTCGGGATGGCAATGTGAGCGAATGAATGACAGGCTAGAATCAGATCGATATCACACCTAGAGCAGTCACAGTCTCTGTGCTCTGAGTGACCCTGGATCCAAGTCAGTTGTGATAACCAGAGGGAGCCACGAATGTAGGCCTTGAGATTGTAAAGATATGTTTCCCCCTAATCTTGGTGATCTCACTGACTCATGAAAACACTTTTCTATTTAGCTCTTGATTTTTGTTTCCTAGATGGGCTGACTACCCTTCTTCAGGGGTACAGGAATAGCCGAGTCTGACGTAAGATAAAACTCGGACACAGCAGCTGCTTAGAGTTGCATCCTAAGCAGCTGCCATGGGAAGACAGCAAGGGTTTACAGTAGATTTATACCCGCTGGCTGTGCATCTAAGCTACCCATGCTGAGGCCAGTAACTTAGTCACTTAGTGCTTAGTCACTTCCAGGAAGTCCTCTCTGTGTGATCTGGAACTCTGGCCTCACCCTCCCTCTCCAGCACAATGACAGTTATAGCTAGGAGTCAGACATCATGCTGCATAAGCAATGAGTAGTCACAGAATCCCATTTGTATTCATTCCAACATTCATGACAGTCTTGCAAGATAGGTACTGTTATTCCCATATTTTTTTTCCCAGAAAAAGAAACTGAGAGAAGCGAAAGGACTTGCTCATGGTCACACTGCTCAATTATGGAAGAATTAGGATTCCAACTCAACACCCAGGTTCTCTTCGCTACCACAAGCTCAGCACAACCAAATGGACGGGGAGATTTACCTCATGGAAGGAGGCTCCTGCAGGTAATACTCGGTGTAATGCAGGCCCAGGTGACACAGGGTCTGCCAGCTCATCTGAAAGAAGAAAGTCCACCTGTGGACCTCCTGTGGGCCGAGGGAGCAGAGGAGAGCCACTGTGCAGACAGCAGGGATGAAGACGAGCACAGCGTAGGGACCCATGGCAGCCAAGGCCAGGGCGCCTCCCCCAGCCAGGAGAAAGAGGTATCTGAAAAAGAAAGGACACCCCAGGAAAACCAGCTTGGAAGAGTGTGGTCAATGAACCACTGAAGATGTCATTCTGAGAACCCAGTCGAGGTAGGCCCCACAGAACACCCAAAGAAGTCACGCTGTTCACACTTGGATGCCGTCCTTTTGTTCATCTGAAGGAATGAATCATGGGAGAAAGATCTAGTGTCCATTTGCAGACTTTCACCTCAGGAGACAAATCTTGATTCCTGCCTTAGTGACCCTGGAAGCCTTTCTCTCTTTGACATGATTTCCACCAAGGTATTCCATCACCAGTCCCCTGACATCCTAGAAGGCTTGCTAGCAGGGACACCTTTAAAATCTACTGGTGGCCAGGCTCGGTGGCTCAGCCCGTAATCCCAGCACTTTGGGAGGCCGAGGTGAGTGGATTGCCTGAGCCCACGGGTTCAAGACCCGCCTGGGCAACTTGGCAAGACCTCATCTCTACAATAAATCAAAAAATCAGCCGGGCGTGCATGCCTGTAATTCCGGCTACTTGGAAGGCTGAGGTGGAAGGATCGCCGGAGCCCAGCAGGTCGAGGCTGCGGTGGCTGGGAGCGGCCACTGTACTCCAGTCTGGGTGGCAGAGTGAGACTCCAACTTAAAAAAAAAAAAAAAAAGCAAAGATACTCATCTTGATGAGACGATGTCTAGAGAGCTCTTCCATAGCGTTGCTCTGCGAGGGGAGAAGGGAGAGAGAAGAGGGGAAAGGGGAGATGGGAGGGGGAGAGAGGAGAGGGGAGAGGGACGAGACCCAGTGCTTTCTTTCCATGTTTGAAAACTCAGGCAGAAAATTTTATGTCTACCCTTCATCCTCACTGCTGCATGTTAAGATTTTATGAGTTAGTCTTTTTTTTAAGTTTTTACAGTTTATTAATCCTCTCATGAGAAAACTGCAAATCACGGCAAATAAAGTTAACACAGACTCTTTACTCCTTTTTGCCAGCATCAACACTGGTCTTTGGTTTTCCTGACTTATTCTGTCCTTGTGCTCTTTTCACCACTTTCTTCTTCTTCTTCTTCGTCTTCTTCTTCTTCTTCCTCTTCTTCCTCTTCTTCCTCCTCTTCTTTTTTTGAGCTAGAGTCTCACTCTGTCACCCAGGCTAGAGTGCAGTGGCATGATCATGGCTCACTGCAGCTTCGACCTCCTGGGCTCAGGAGATCCTTTCAGTCTCCCAGCCTCCTGAGTATCTGAGACTATAGCTGCATGCCACCATAGCTGGCTAATTTTCAAATCTTTTTGGTAGAGACGAGGACTTGCTATGATGCCCAAGCTAGTCTCGAACTCCTAGGCTCAAGTTATCCTCCTGCCTCAGCTTCCCAAACTGCTGAGATTATAGGTGTAAGTCACTGTGCCTGGCCCTTTTCACCACTTGCTTAAAGTCTTTTTCTTCTCATCTGGGCCATGTCTTGCAAGTCTATGTATGCTTGGGTTCATTTTCTTTGTGTAATTCAGGTAACTGTCAATCATGCCACCACGAAAATAGGGTCAGAATCCAAATACAAAGATGACATCCAATGTGTCCTTGCCCATTTTGGCTAGTTTTTGCAGGATTTCTTTCTTAATACTATTACCTTCCCAGGCTAAAGGACCACCATGACCATTTGTTTCCACTAACGTTGTCAGCTGATTATGAACTTCCTGCTCCAGAGAGCCACTTTGTCCTTCACAACAGTGCCTGATCCTCAGGTGCCAGGAAGGAAAAGAACAAGGGTTCTTTTTTTTTTTCTTTTTGTATTAGAATCTCACTCCATCACCCAGGCTGGAGTGCAGTGGCACACTCACTGCCACCCCAGCGTCGACCTGCTGAGCTCTGGTGATCCTTCCTCCTCAGCCTTCCAAGCAGCCAGAACTATGGGCGCACCCTACCATGCCTGACTAATTTTTATTTATTTATTTATTTATTTATTTATTTATTTATTGTAGAGACGAGATCTCGCCAAGTTGCCCAGGCTGGTCTCGAACCCAAGGGCTCAGGCAATCCATTTGCCTCAGCATCCCAAAGTGCTGGGATTACAGGTTGAGCCACCAAGCCCAGCCAAGAGTTCAGAGTTCTTTTTTTTTTTAATGCTGTAAAACACCCATATCCTCCATGAAAAGCCAAGAAGAGGCAGATTTGCAGAGGCTGAGACGGTCCACAATATATAGACTTGTTTCTTCTTTGTATTGCATAGAGGTTTGCTTTTAAATTAATGCCAACTTAATACAGCTGATTGAAGGGTTCAGAGAAAGTGTGAAGTAGGGACTGATTGATCAGAGATGAGGAAAATGAGACAAAGAGGCCTATGACTTCTCTACCGACTCACAACCAGAAAACATCATTACAGGGCGAATGTATGTCATGGGTCCGTGGCACAGTCCAAGGAGCACACTGGCAAGAATTTCTTTCTTTCTTGGGGGAGAGCAGTAGGCACTTCAGTGTGACAGGCTGTATCACGCAAAAGCCCCGGGCTATTCCCATGCCTCTTTCTGAGCCTTTGCTTGGGGTGACTCTTCCCCACAACACCCCAGTTAACACTGTGGTTCAAGCCTTCACCTCCCTACTATGGGAAATTAAGGGAAACACTTATGCCCTACACAGCAGAAGCAGAAGCCAGAAGCAGCACTCCCAGCCTGAGGCAACTGCCCTAGAGGATTTCTAAGCATTAAAATGTCTATGCATGTACAGTATAGGATGTATGACTTAGTGATTGCTTATTTCATTCTAGGCATTGTGCTAATAATCCTTTATATCCTAATTTAGTCCTTAAAACAACCCCATGAGATAACCATTATTATTTTCATTTTACAGATAAGGAAAGGGCACTTTGGAGAAAGTTTATTCACAAGCACAATAACACTCAGTTAAGTGAGGGAGTTAGAACTCACAAGCTGAATCCAAAGTCAGCAATCTTAATCCTAAAGTAATTCCACCAGGATTCTTATGTTTGCACACTTTTTTTTTTTTTTTTTTTTTACGGAGACAAGGTCTTGCTCTGTCACCCAGGTTGGAATGCAGTGGTGTAATCATAGCCCACTATACCCTTGACTTCCTGGGCTTAAGTGATCCTTCTGCCTCAGCCTCCTGAGTAGCTGGGACTACAGGTATGCCCCACCATGCCTGGATAACTTTTTAATTTTTTGTAGAAACAAGGTCTTTCTATGTTGCCCAGAGTGATCTAGCACTCTAACCTCAAGCAATCCTCCTATCTCAGCCAAAAGCCAAAATTACAGGTGTGAGCCACTGTGTCTGGCCTAACAATAATTTTTAACCCTAAATTGAGTATAGCTAATCTAAAAAAATTCATTTTGACTTATTTCATTTCTCTGAGAAATCATACAAAGGCATTTTAATAATCACATTTAGCTGTAAATGTAACTTACATTGTTATAATTTCATATAAACTTTAATTTTATTGAAAATGATGAAATTAAGCCAGGCACAGTGGCTCATGCCTATGATCCCAGCACTTTGGGATGCTAAGATGAGAGAGTTGTCTGAGCCCAGGGCTCAAGACTAGCCTAGGCAACTTGTTGAGACCTCCTCTCTACAATAAATAAATAAATGAGTGGGGTGTGGTGGCACATGCCTGTAGTTCCAGCTACTTGGAAGACAGGCAGGAGGATTACCTGAGCCCAACAAGTCAAGGCTGTGGTGGCCATGAGCATGCCAATGCACTCCAGCCTGGGCAACAGTGAGATTCCAACTCAAAAAAAAAAAAAAAAGGAGGCCGGGTGGGTGCAATGGCTCAAGCCTATAATCCCAGAATTTTGGAAAGCTGAGGCGAGAGGATTGCCTGTTCCCGCAGGTTGGAGACCAGCCTGGGCAACATGGTGAGACCTCATTTCTACAGTAAATCAAAAAAATTAGCTGGGCATGGTAGCCCGTGCTTGTAGTTTCGGCTACTTGGAAGGCTGAGGTGGAAGGATCGCCTGAGCACAGCAGGTTGAGGCTGCAGTGGCCGGGAGTGTGCTACTGCACTCCAGCTTGGGTGACAGAGTGATACTCCAATTCAAAAAAAAAAAAATAGAAAGAAAATGATGAAATTAGGACTATTCAAGAATATCTAGGATCTGTGTTGGTATAGATGTGTCCATTTGGGGGAATTCCTGCACAATCACAACAACCATCTCTCTCTAGAGTTTATTTTCATCCATTAGTCATTTAATGTGAGCCTATCAAACTTTGACTAGTTCAGTGAAGACATGATATCAATTTCCAACTTAGCTTTACTCTATTATATATATTCACTACCTATGTATCTATTATACATATTCTCTATTATATATGTATATTCACTATCAAGCAATCCATAAGCAGTAACAGTGACAGTTAAAAAAAATTTGAAGTGTAATTAGTATGTAGTCTTCACCTCTGCAATCTGCTCTGTACTGCTCACCCTACCATAGTATTCCCAGATATAAGGGTAAAATGAGCCATTTAGCCTACCTGGCATGAACAGAAAAGGAGTCCATGATGCAGAGATAATTAAACAGAAGTGCAAAAGGAAATGCAGCCCCCTGGTAAAGTGACACAGGATGGAGGAATAACAGGTGAAGCCACTCCATTATGAAATGGAACAAAAGATACTGTCCTTTCCAGGGTCCTTAACTGGTGCCTTCCTGCAAGAGCAAACTCCACTAGGCAGTCTCTGGTCCTTTTATCTAGTTTAGGAGGGTCAGGGTGAGCAAAACGCAAACAAAAGCCCTGGCGATAAGCCGTATAAAAGCTGACTTTCTGATAAAGGGAGCTGCACTATAGAAACCAAAACACATTTTGGTGTTATATGAATAATGACACATACTAAAAACCTGTTTTCAGAAGTTGTGGCTTTGTTTAGTTTTACATAGCACGTTATTTGCCTTTCCAGTTATCAGACTGTCATATTTTCTTCACTAAGCTAATGAAAAATCTTATTTTCTTGTTGTGGACAGACAAATCCCTAGACTGCAGAGCAGGAACAAGAAACGTGAGCCAGAGGTAGGTGGGGAAAAGTCTGCCTTCCAGCTTTGGAAATGAAGATTGAAGACAAGATCACTCTTCCTCACCAACAGTCTTCTCCTTATGCTTTTTTTTTTCCATATCAGCACCTCTTATATGAGGGGACCCAAAAAAACTCAGAATTGTTTTTTGGAGGGTAGGCCCCTTGTAGTACATGCCTCCCCCAATAGGTTAGTGTTCTACAAACCCATCAGTATCAGTGTACCAGCTATCATTGTTGTGAGATGCTGTGTTCGGCTTCGGTGAATTGTTTTTTTTGAGATTCTTTCAATGAATTTGTCCATTTCATGATGGTTAATTTATGAGTGTGCCCAACCATACCATGTTGGGTGTTCAGCAGCTTTTGACCAAAATCAGCATGATCCCCGTGCCCCACCCTGCCTATTCACCCAATCTTATCCTGAGTGATGTTTTTTTGTTTCCCCAGATGAAAAAAGTCCTCAAAGGCAAACAAAAATCAGCAAAAGCACCAAAAGACATCAAAATTGACAAGTTCAAAAACTGTTTTGAGCAGTCGAAAAAGCATCTTGATAGTGTATTACATCAAATGGAGAGTACTTTGAAGGTGAAGTTTAAACATGTAAGAATAAACATGTAAGAATAAACATGTAAGAATAAACATTTATTTTTAATAAATAAATTCTGGGTTTTCGAGTCCCCCCTTGTATATCTCTTTCTTGATTGTAGCTCCTCACTACAATGCTAACTCTACAAAGAAAACACTTTGTTTTGCATATTGCTATATCACCATCACATAGAATAGTGCTGTATACATATTATAAACTTACTCAGCAAATATTTGTTTAAGTTAAAGAGATTTTGAGGATGCAAAAGTGTGGAGAAAAAACATTGAAAGAGAATCTTTTCTTTAGGGGTGTGGACAAGTAATACTGAAGAGACTTTCTAGAGGCAAGACACCTCCTGACAAGTGGAGATTTGTCTACTGAGCCCAGGGCATCTCTGATCCACTGTTTTTCATCTCCAAAGGCACACGAAAGAGCAAGGAACCTTAAATAAAAGACAGGAAGATATAGCCTGACACAAGAGCATCTCCGGGGCAAGATGATTTCTCTTTTAGTGAGAAACTGCCCTGCACAGAGGAGAACATCTAAAAGTCTATTATTGATTGGGGAATTTGAGCAAGTCATTTCACCTGAGACTGAGCTTCATCTTAAAAATTACACCTGCCTCGACAGAGTTGTCATGAAAACCAGGAAAAGCATGCAAAAGCATAGTGTAGAAAGCTGGCTGGTTGAATGTAGTTGAAGGCAAAATGATTGAATCATAACAAGTATGTGCATTATTGGGCTACCATTTTATGGCAGTTCTGTACTAGGCACTAGGAATATAGGGATGAGTAAGACACGGTCCCTGCCCTCATGTGGTTCTCAGTCTCCTAGGGAGACAGAAATGGAAACAAATACTTTCATGAAAGAATGGTAGATGCACAGGTATAGTGTGGTAGATAAAGAAAAAAACAGTCATCTGCAGAAACGGGGAATTAAAAATGATTTTGGAGAAGCAGAAATGCTTAAGTTGGTTCTCTACGAAAGGATGTTTCCAAACAGATGGTTAGCTTATTCCAGGCTACAGAAGGCACAAAGTCTTAGGCAAACAATAGAACAGCTAATGGGGAGATGAGAGCTCCCTAAGGAACCCAAAAAGCTGACATCATATTAAACATATTGAATGCAACCATATCCCTCATTAAATAAAATTTTTAAGTACAGAAGAGTTAAATTGCAGTTGATTAGTAAGAAAAAAGTTGATTCGTAGACACTGAATTAAATATTTATCAATTCCTACCTGTACTTTTTGTACACTGGAGTCAGTCCATTATTTTATTTTCAGGTCTCAAACATTTTGTTGGTCCCTGAAAAGCTTTTAGGCCCTAAACACTGCACCTAATACTGATAAAATGGCCCTTTATAAGCATGCCATGGAAGTCTTTCAAATTAATTTAGGTAGACATTGTTTGAAAATGGATGTGCTAGCCGGGCTCGGTGGCTCAGCCTGTAATCCCGCACCTTTGGGAGGCTGAGGTGAGTGAATTGCCTGAGCCCGCGGGTTTGAGACCCGTCTGGGCAACTTGGTGAGACCTCATCTCTACAATAAATCAAAAAATTATTAGCCGGGCATGGTAGCGTGTATCTGTAGTTCCAGCTACTTGGAAGGCTGAGGCAGAAGGATCACCGGAACCCAGCAGGTCAAGGCTGCGGTGGCCGGGAGCGGCCACTGCACTCCAGTCTGGGCGACAGAGTGAGACTCCAACTCAAAAAAAAAAAAAAGAAAAGAAAAGAAAATGGATGTGCTAACATGCTTGGGACCAACAGAATGTTCTAAATTTATCCATATACTTATTTGATACATTTTTGGGGGGAGTATCAACTATGCAGGTACTGTGGTTGATGCTGAGTCAAGAATGGAAACAAATACTCACATGGTCCTAACCTCATGGAACTAAGTCTTTGGGGGAGACAGTAAAATAAATAAGTATAGCCAGTGATGAGTATAATCCTTACCCCATGGAGAAAATAATCAGAATAGCAAGGATGGCCTATTTTTTATTAGATGGTGTTATGGTCTGAATGTTTGTGTTCCAAATTTCATATGTTGAAATCTAACCTTCAAGGTGATGGTATTAAGAGGTGGAACCTTTGAGAGGTGATTAAGTCATGAAGGTTCTTAATGAATGGGATTAGTGCCTTTTAAAAGGGCTTGTGGGAGCCTGTGTGCCCCTTCTGCCATGTGAGGATGCAGCAAGAGACAGCATTTATAAGGAACAAGCTCACTAGACATGGAATCTCTGCTGCCTTAATTTTGGACTTCCCAGCCTCTAGAACTGTGAACAATGCAGTTCTCTGTTTATAAATTACAGTAGTCCCCCCCTTATATGGGGCTTTGCTTTCTATAATCTCAGTTACCCGTGGTCAACCACAATCTCAAAATGTTTGAGACCTGAAAATATTAAATAGAAAATTCCAGAAATGAACAATTTGTAAGTTTTACATTTCACACCAATCTGAGTAGCAAGATGTAATCTCGCACCAACCTACTCCATCCCACCTGGGTTATGAATCCTCCCTTTGCCCAGTGTATCCACACCGTCTATACTACCCAACCATTAGTTACTTGGTAGCTGGCTTGGTTATAAGAGCGAATGTGGTAGTACTGCAGTGCTTGTGTTCAGGTCACCTTTATTTTACTTCATAATGGTCTCAAAACACAAGCACAGTAATGCTGGCAACTCAGATGTGCCAACAGAAGCTGGTGATTCCTTTAAGTGAAAATGTGAAAATTCTCAACTTAATAAGGAAAGAAAAAAATTCGCTGAGGTTGCTAAGATCCACAGTAAGAACAAATCTTTTATCCATGAAATTGTGAAGAAAGAAAAAGAAAGTCACGCATAGTGCATATAGGGTTCAGCACTATTTGCCTTTCTGATATCCACTGTGGGTCTTGGAATGCATCCTCCAAGAATAAGGGAGACTACTGCATCAGGCCTAAGAACTTTTCATGGATACTAAAATCCGCAGATGCAGCCAGGCTCGGTGGCTCAGCCTGTAATCCCGCGCTTTGGGAGGCTGAGGTGAGTGAATTGCCTGAGCCCGCGGGTTCAAGACCCGCCTGGGCAACTTGGCGAGACCTCATCTCTACAATAAATCAAAAATTAGCCAGGCATGGTAGCGCACGCCTGCAGTTCCAGCTACTTGGAGGCGGAAGGATCGCCTGAGTCCAGCAGGTCGAGGCTGCAGTGGCCAGGAGCAGTCACTGCACTCCAGTCTGGGCGACAGAGTGAGACTCCAACTCAAAATAAATAAATAAATAAAAATAAATAAAATCCGCAGATGCTCAAGTCCCTTCATAATATGGTGTAGTATCTGCATATAACCTATACATATCTTTCCCTGTACCTTATTAATTTAATTTTTTTTTTTTAGTGGAGTCTCACTCTGTTTCCCAGGCTGCAGTGCAGTAGCACAATCATGGCTCACTGCAGCCTCAACCTCCTGGGCTCAGGTGATCCTCCCACCTCAGCCTCCAGAGTTGCTGAAACTACAGGTGCGCGCCACTACACCCGGCTACTTCTTTGATGTTTTGTAGAGACGAGGTCTCATTTTGTTGCCTAGGCTGGTCTCAAACTCCCAGGCTCAAGTCATCCTCCTGCCTCAACCTTCCAAAGTGCTGAGATTACAAGCATGAGCCCACCATGCCCAGCCCTCCTGAATACTTTAAATCATTTCCAGATTACTTCTAACACCTAATACAATTCCTACACATCACTTCGTTCACATGGATTCAACATAGCACTTGTCATGTGGCAAATTTAAGATTTGCTTTTTGGACATCGTGGAATTTTTTCCCCAATATTTTCAATTAAAGAGTTGATTGAATCCATGCATGTGGAACCTACGGATACTAAGGGCTAACAAAATACAGCAGCCAGAATGAACTAAGATAGTCAAGAAAGGTTTCCCTGAGTGCAATGGTCAGTTTTTCGTGTCAGCTTGGCTAGGCTATAGTTCTCAGTCATTCAGTCAAGTACTAATCTAGGTGCTGCTGTAAAGGTATTTTGTGGATGTGATTAAAGTCCATAATCAGTTGACTTTAAGAGAGACTATCCAGCCCGGCTCGGTGGCTCAGCCTGTAATACCAGCACTTTGGGAGGCTGAGGTGAGTGGATTGCCTGAGCCCGCGGGTTCATGACCCGCCTGGGCAACTTGGTGAGAGCTCATCTCTAAATAAAAAAAATAAAATAAAAAATTAGCCGGGTGTGGTAGCGCACACCTGTAGTTCCAGCTACTTGGAAGACTGAGGCGGAAGGATCGCTGGAGCCCAGCAGGTGGAGGCTGCGGTGGCCGGGAGCAGCCACTGCACTCCAGTCTGGCGACGGAATGAGACTCCAACTCAAAAAAACAAAAACAAACAAAAAAAGAGAGAGACTATTCTAAATAATCTGCGTGGGCTTGATTCAAGAGCTGAGGCTTCCCTGAAGAAAAAATTCACCTGTGAACAGCTGGTTCATCCCTCGCATGAGTTCCAGCTTGGTCTACAGATTCTGAACTTGCTTAGCCAGACCCCCACAACTACGTAAGCCAACTTCTTATGACAGACCTCTTCATAGATATCTCCTACTAGTTTTGTTTCTTTGGGTGAACACTGAATATGTGACTTCTGAGACCAAAGGATCAAAAGATGTTGGGGTGGGGAAAAGAGGAAGCAATTAAGAGTGGAGGGTCAGTTTGGCTTCTTGGAGAATGAGGTGTGATTGTGTAAGAAAGAAGAAAGGGAGCATGAAGTGAGAAAAGAGAGAAGCAGACAGCGGCTGGATCTAGTCCAGAGATAGGTTATGGAAAGTAGTTTGGATTTTAAGAGGAATGGGAAATAAATAACACGATTTGGCTTTCAGAGGATGATTTTGACTACAAGAGAATGATTTGCATTGAAGTTCCGGGTGGGAGGATAAGGGGCATGAATTTAGAGGTCAAGGATGGACGGAGAAGACCAAAAGGGGAGAGAGCCAGGGATTCGATTAGAGAAATGGTGGAATAAATGGTGTAAAGCGGAGGGATGAGGCCCCAGAGGTATGACCCCCAGAATTTTCAGGTCAATTCTACACTAGGGGTGAGGAGTGCCAAGGTGTCTCTCGATTGCCTGTCTTGAACAACTGGGCAAATGGTGGATTCCTTTACTGCGATGGGGTTCAAAGGAGCAATTAGCAGCGCCGCCTGTAGTTCCGGCTACTTGGAAGGCTGAGGCGAAGGATCACAGGAGCCCGGCAGGAGCCCAGCAGGAGCCCGGGAGGAGCCCAGCAGGGGCCCAGCAGGAGCCCAGCAGGTCGAGGCTGCGG